TCAAGTTCTGTTAACACTTTGCGAACATGCTGTTCCGATATTGCTACAAACGATGATTGAATCTAAAAAAGCTACTTACATTGGAAATTTCGTTGCATCTTGCAGTCTCTTGTAATAGCATCCACATGTAAACCATTAAGGTTACCTTTTCGTGTCTCTTCCGCCAATAACTGTGCTATATACTTGGTAAGCGTGAGGTTTGTTTGTCCGTCCTACACAAGATTGTATATTCGAAGAAGGTTGACCTACCGACGGAGCAGCCCCAGGGTGATCACGAATGGTACTGGCAGCCGTGCCTGTGGGATTGTGGTACTGGTTTTCGATAGGTTGTGCGGCAAATGTCTGTGCAATATCTATGACATCACCGACTTGAAGTGGTGTCCCTTCTTTTTCATTTCTTAATATCATGTTAATGACGTCTAGTTCGTGAAGGGTGAACTCATCTGGTGAATAAACTTCCCTTATCTTGAAAATAACGATAGCAGGACAGTTTACACTATATATTGGGTTATAGCTGCCATAAACTACAACCATCCGATGTGTTTGCATAACCTTTTCCAACTCCCTCTGTCTGAACGGTGTCATGTCACTCGGGTGTACGAATGTACATGTTATACGACCTGTACCGTCATCAATAAGGAATTGTGTATTTTCATCGGTTGATTTATGGCTTTCGATACGTCCTAATATTTTCATAACGTCAGGTACCCTATTGAAAAATTGGATGTAACCGGCATCGTTGTGCCATGCGTTGACTATCATACTGATTTTGACTGGCATCATAGACTGCCTGGTAGGTGCTACCTTTTCCTTTTGCAAGCCTGTTTCATCCAATTGCGGTATGGCATCATCTTCCAGGAATCCTCCAGCTGTGATGTCTTCCACTGCGACATGATGTAAATAAATGAGAGCTAAGGTGGGAAGGTTGTCAACTGTTATGTACAATATATCATAAATTTAACAAGTTAAATTATCAACAACTAATATTCGTGAATTTGGCTGATATATACAAAAATCTGTTACATGTTTGTGCTATCACACTTATGAATGAATGAAGTTTGCGGTTATTGCTAATATTCCTGAACTTACATTGTTGTATTTCATCTAGATTCCAATTTGCTCCAAAAGAGTCCTGGTCTCCGAAACCGCCGAACATCTTAACTAGCGTGTTGACGAGCGATAAAGTATATAAAAGTAGACAAAGGCCGGTTTAGCCTATGTTAACAGCTTCTTCGCCCATAATACCATGTAAGTAAAATTGTGCTCGGTATAATATCACTGAATTATGTGGTATTTTTGCAATGTGCGAGTAATCATGGTGAGCTGCAACACAACGCTCCCAATGATTCCGCCCCAAAGAGCCACTAATCCGCACATAACATATTTTCAGTGCGAAATCAGTTTATAGCTCGGACAACAGTCATAGTAGGTATAATCTAGATTTAATTAGTTTCCAATCAATACGGAATCCCGTTTTTTGCGGGAAAGTGTCAGTGGTGCCGGTATTGAAATACTGCAACTACTAAAAATCAAGTTAGACAAGATACTACTGATCTTAGGAGGAGTTTCTAGGTAGGTGAAATTGTGAATACGGCGTTTATCCAATCGATTGGCCCTTATTATGCCTGTTATATAGGCGACCCACAAAAAAGCCATCAGCCCACGACTCGAAACGACACATAGAAAGTCAGACCTAAAATTTTATGTGATTTATGCGGGCGATTGATCGGCATATTTTCGTATTAGGCAAAAGACATTGCCGAATTACATATATAGTTGGTGTTAATAGGATATTTTCGATAGTTGACCGTACCCCCTTGAAACAATGGACGCTCAATTTCTACAAGATAAGCTTCAAGCTATTTCGTTCATCGTTCCTGGGAATATAGATAATGAGAGAGATGTTTGGGAGTACATAGACCGCCTAACTGGCCCAGGTGACCACCTGAGGTCAGTCTTGGAGAGAAGTGAGAATACTGGTGAGATAATTCAAGACCTCTTGTATTTAGCGGAATTTGAGAAACAACATCGTAGAAAGTCAGGTGGTGAGGGTAGAAATGGCAGCTTATGTTACCATATTATGAGGGTGGCATTAGAGCTCGAGACTCCGGCTGCAGCGCAATTGATAAACCGTTTATACCTTCGTGGTTTTGTGAAAGAGCTTGTTAAAGCTATGTTGATGTACTTCGGTACGACCGTCAGTAATTCTGAGAAGTTGGATTGCGATAGTGTGTTAGGTGGTTTATTGAAGGATTCGGGTACCACATTGCGTATATGCGCCCACGCACTCAAGGCTATGGATAGAAAGATAGATGTGGTTGATGAGGATGGAGAGTGTAAGATGAGGTTCAAGCAGTGTCGGGATTATAACGTTGCTTTACGTATAGTTGAGTTGTTTTTGGAATCCTCAGTGATGAAGGAAGAAAACAACTATGCATATATAACCCGCATGTTTCATCCTAGGAGTGCGGTATTGCTTCCCATTAAAATGCAGTTTTTTGTTTTGCATATTTTAGCCCGGAGGATCGAGTTAGAACGTCAGGAGTTGCCGGGTGAGGGTAAAGAGGCTGACACTGAACCAACCAGTCAACCGCCAGTAACGGAGCTTGCAGAGGTTCCTGAATCGCAGGAAGAAACACTGGATTCTGACAAGGTGACAACTGTAGAACCGGAAAATGTGCCCAATGTGAAGACGGAGGGAGTCAGGGAAAAACCAACCCTTCGGGAACGACAGCTGAGGTCTAAAGACATGCCAACTAACCTTTTTGTGGCTGTAAGATTGTTGAGGAAATTGTCGCTTATGTGGTCTGAAAGTGTTGATCAAGATGTTAGTTTGAGTTCTGAATTTGTCATTATTGCCGCTGGTATAGTGAAGCTTCTGGAGATTGTTTATAGCATAGACGACGAGTTGAAGAGCGAACGATTTTTGCATATTGAATTGTACCTGACTCAAGGAATTGAGGCCAAACTTTCTTCGATGGATCGCAATTTGTCTTCTGCTTCGATGTACATTGCATCGGCGATGTCGAAGCTTGTAGTAAGACGTGAAGAGCTTTTGGGTAACGATGTTGACGATGTGATTGACTTAGATGAGGAAGATTGCCTGATTGATGATACTTTGCTCCCTATGCAACTTGCATCTGCACCATTTGTCGTTGACGGTATCGATTATTTCTTGGATGGAGCACGTGGTAACGCCAAGCCGTCTGATTTGATAGAGCAAAGTATAAAGGAAACTGAGGAGAAACTAACCCTGAGGTCATCCAAGCGTGAAACAAGTGACAATTATGATAAGCATCACGTTACGAAATTGGTAAATGACATTTTCGCGGACGTCCCTCTGGTGGAATTTCGAGAAATAGAGCCCGCAGAGATGCATATATGGACTGATCCGCCTAAACATATACAGCAATGTTTCGAGCGTCTATGTGGCACACCTGTTGCTGCAGATGTTGAGGTATCGAGGCTATTGAACAAGGCTTTGAATAAACCTCGCAGGATGCCCAACGCTGCTAAGAGGGATATGATAGCGCAGACCCTTTTGTATTTGCCCAGGGTTGTGGCACGTGACGAGCCTATATTGGATAGATTTGCTGTACCAGTTTGCCAATTACTTTTAAAGCTTGACAATTTGGAATTATACGAGGAGGCCTTTGTGGAGCAGCTTACTAAGTTGCGACTTTCAAAAGATGATGAACGTAGAGTCGAGGATATTAGGATGTGGACTGAACTGATTGGTGTAACTGAATGCTCATCCGTGATTAACATCCAAGCTCACCTTGCGCATGCTCTGGGCTGCATTGCTAAAAAACGTCCACTAAAGGTTATCCAATTCTTTTGCCAGGCTATAGCTGACGGTGAATATTCGATATATCAGAAATTGATAATGCTTTCCTGTATGCAACTCACGGCATATCATCTAAGCGATCTCCCGGAATGCTACATAGGTAAGAATATTATGGCTCGTGTTTTGCACATGTATTCCCTAGTGGACAAGCGAGCTAGCAGTGAGAATAATGCTAGGTCTCGGCTTGTCTCTAGACGAAGGAGCCCATCGCTGGGTAGGAGTGTTCCTAAGGTTGACGCTAAGGATATTGCCTTACGTGAGAGGCAGGACGCGTTATTGAAACCTGCGGAGATATGGCACTGTGGCATAGTTATTGGGAATGATTACGATTATCGAACTAAGGAAGAACGTATGATGGCTACATTACCTAGCTGGAGCGGTAGTGAAACTACTAGTTCGGGAGCGTCGAATCGGTTTTGTAGTAGTAGGGAGAGTCTGTTTGTACCAGCAAACAACCAAGTAGTGCAGTCTGATTTTTTATCACGGCAGACCCCGTTAATCGAGGAAATCGTGAGGGAGTCTGATGAAGCTAGGGTGGAAGCACCTTCAGTTGATGTCAATGTGAATCCCGTTAATGCTTCTGCTGTAGAGCCATCGGGGGAGGTCAGTGCTACAGAGGAGGTGGAGCGTAGGACACCGGTTCTTCACATATCGGAGAGCAACGAGTTCGCACCACTTGCAAACATGGCGATAAGTTATCTTGTCCAGGCCGCTGAGCGCTGCATAAAGATCGAAGAGCAGAACCGTACTCCAACTGTTGCGCAGCTGTTGGTTATCTGCATGCTAGACACTCTTATGTTATATTTACTTTGTTCTGGAGGTCGCATTTCTCCAGAAGTGTTGTACGACTGCAAGGGTATATGTCTTGTGTCTTACAAAGTGGCCCCGAGTAGCGAGATGGGTGACCTTGTGGTTCGTCTCCTAACTCTGATTGAGAACGTGGCGAAAGAAGCCCATATAGACGTTGATAGTGTAATTCAAAGGATTAGGGGTCCAAATCGTGCGCGTTAATAAGATTATGCGTTACTATGTTTGGTATGGATATGTATCCATGCCGTATCTCAATGTAGGATAACTACATGTGGCCAAAGTGACCACCATTGCGACGTAATTCGGAACATATCCCGATAATTACGTCATCTTCTTAGAAGAACTAGAGGTCAGCAAAAAAGCTGGACTCTTGCAATTTGCCGTCTGCCAACTGGATGATCTTGTCTGTGGTAACGAGGCATATTTGCTCAAGATTAGCTATGAACCCTATTAATAGCAATCTTCACTGTTTTATGTGTACATACCTAGAATTGTTTTTGTGTCGTTTAGGCATAGCGAGTCCGTATTTGTTATTTTATCGCCGAGCTTAGCTATATCCCCCAGAGTGCCTGTGTCATTGTTTACGAAATCACGGGGTAGGCTCTACCTCTTATTTCGTTCGGCATTATCGATACAACATCGATAGTTCCATTATCACCGCCGATTAGTACCGTGTTATGGTCCAATGCGACAATGCTTTCCAGGCTATTTGTCCCTAGGGTTATGCGGTCGTTGATATCGCCCCAATGTCCGTAAGAAAATAGACACAGGTGTCCTGTATTAGTCCCGCATACGACCTTTCGCATCTGTTTGGCATAGCAGAAACACAAAAACTCGTCTTCAACATTGTCTGACATGCCGAGTAGTGACATCTTTCCGTTTTTTAGGGTAAAGCACCCCAACTGGTCATCACATATCGCCAACAGTTCCCTTGTGTCCTTTCCTAACAAGATACCTGCAATAGTACTGTTGAACTCGGTAACCTTTGAGCGGCAAACTGCCTTGGTGACCCGTGTGTCCCAGAGCTGCGTAATATTGAATTACACCAAATTTCGATTTTTACCAATATAGCTCCATCTTCATCACCCGTGGCGATAGTATGGTCATCTATAATGCAGAATGTGGTTACTCCTGCTCTAAATAAAGTTGAATTGTATTTACACACAGTAACTAACTCATGTTTACGGCTATACCACTTCACGGCGCCTCCTTCCACGTCAATTAGTGACGCCCTTTTGTCGGCAGAGACGGCTATGATATCTAGCGATGGTCAAATTGCCAGTATACTCCCTTACCGTTGCCATCATCTGAGAACCCAGCCTTCCTTATGGACCTGTTATGTGCATCGTCTATAGTTCGAGAAGGTGTAATAGTGGCCGTCTCAAGGTCCCATGTATATCTGTTAATTACTTAGAAACGGTTACCACCGATGAACTCACAAGGCAAGGCTACCAGCGATGCTACCGGTTACGAGCAAGTCGCGGCTATTGTGAAACGCCAAAGTATTAACGCAAAAGTCGCCTGTAACATATAACGCATTGCGTGACATTTTAAAGCATAATGTTTGAGTCTATAAATATGACTCAGTGCCACTTCAGGTCCCCCTTGGGAATAGGACCAACAGTCCCATCCTGTAACAGATATGATTGTGACATATTTGTTACTTACCAAACGGCGGGCCATACACGTTCCGATAGATTTCATCAACTGCGTAGCGTCGTTATCCTCGCCTAGGTTACGGAACCAAACTTCGATACGCACGACGGGGAACCTGATGGCAAGTTTGTCCACCTACAATAGATGAGATTAACTTTGGAAATTTAAACCTACCAGACGAATGCCATTAATCAGATTGGCATGTGGTATGCTGCATCCTATGAGTCCTAGTACTATATTATTCCAATATTCATCTACTGTAATTTGCGAAACGTCGGTAGGTTTGAACCGATAGTCAAAGTGACCACCATCCTTATTCATCTCATCTTCCCACATGGGTTCTATTCCATCTCTGTATAGACATTAATCACCCCCAATGTTACGTGTTTGCGTATTGCGCCATTTGCATATGTAAGGACGGGGTAACATAAAATCTATTTCGTAAGTTGAATCATATTCACTGTTATTATAAACAGTGATTTTGTCAAACAACGGTGAATATGGTATGGATATACCTACCTAAATAACATAATAGCGTCCACTACATGTTCTGATCCGTCCTTGCATTCCCTGGATAGGCGGCGTGTTGTGGAAAGTTCACTTGGTTGAGGTATATTAAACCATAGATTCCAGAAGCTCTGACGATAGATGTAAGTTAGGAAATTGAGGTGAATAGCCTACCTGTACGGTGTCAAAGGCCACCAGTGGCCTGGTATGACATTTATAGTCTGTATTGTGACGATGATCACCCCCCTTAACTATTTGCTCCCAAATAACCCATTTGTTCTTAAGCGGTAGCGGCACAGTAATATTGATGTCGCACTGTGTGAATTTAGTAGGAAACAATGGTAATGGTACCGTTTCAAAGAACTCCGTTATCCGACGAAAGTGAGGTGATTTTTTGTTGAATGTAAGTACCAATTGAGAATTTTCGCTATCAGGTTGGTTACCTGATAGGCTACCGTTTTCCGTATCCATCATTGATATGTAATCCAAGGTCGATGTATAGGTCAAATGTGCGGGTAAATCATATACTTGTTATATTGAGTACCCGTTGATAATCCTTTGACGACCTATTACAAGATCCTATTTGGGACCAAAAATGAATTTTTGGTTATATTGAAGTGTCAGCGCAGCGGCTGGATTTCAACTTTATAACAGTGGAAACATAACAACCCCCATCCACCGGCTAACCTGAGTGACCATCGGACACATATTCATTATACTATATGAATCACGATAGTTCTAATTTATTTAAATAATTTTATAAATGTAGAAGATAATATAGCGCAAGACATATATCAACCAGCATCGTTCACAGCTTGCTCAATAGATTCCTTGTCATCCCTAGCTACAGAGCTATCACCCTTCGTTTTCTTCTTCCGATTATAAAATGGTACCGGTGGTTTTATATTCTTCATAGTATCATCTACGCTTTTCAGCCTCTCGAAACGCTCTGGGCCTAATAGATCTTGCAATCGTGATAATGTAGATTCAGATGCCATGTCCAACGGCACTTCACCGCGCTTGTTATACTTCTGAATGGCTCCTATTGGTATTAAGTGATGAAATATCCACTTAAATAACGTACCGCGTTCAACAAGTTCAGCAGCAACGTCAGCGTGACCCTTGGAAAGAGCCAGGTGTAACTAAACAATCACTGATAAAAAAGTATAGAATACTTACAGGGGTCATCCATGTTTTCGATGTCTTCACGTTTACCCGTGCTCCACGGCGTAACAGCTGATTGCAATAGATATCACCTAGATCAACATGCTTACCAATCTCACAACCTCGATATGGCCCTGTTGCGTCGCGAAATGTAGAGCTGTAGTAGAATCCCGCGCAACGGCATGAACAGAGGCTCCATAACGTAATAATAAACCAACAATACTCACGGAACCTGCCTAGTGTGTAACACAGCAGTAGTGACATACCCAAATGCGCCGCTAGATGGAGCGCTGTCCTGATATATAATTAAATAATGGAAATATAGTAATTAATACGGTAATTTAAGGGGGATCTAAATAATACAGGGCTATTACCTTGTGTGAGAGTCCCGCTTATCGATAAAATCTGGAACAAGTGTAGTCGCTTCAGGGTCGTCACGATTACGAAGACGAAGTGCACCTGATAATACACGCTCCAGTACCACTTCGTTGCCACCTTTCACCAAATTATGAAGGGCGCTCATTCTATCCACTGAACTCCATTGATATGGACGATGTCACAGAACGTAGCTGCGCCTCCCACAGAGACCTATAGTGACCACCAAGCTCGAAAAGATCCATATGTGAACCGAATTCCTTGATCTCACCATTCTCAATATACATTATACTATCACAATCCACAATAGTACTCAGACGATGCGCAATGGTTATCACAGTACGGTTGTGGAACAGTAGACGTAACGCTGTTTGAATATCAGCTTCAGTCTTGGAGTCTAGGGCACTTGTAGCTTCATCCAAGATCAATATTGGTGGATCTTTCAAGAAACAACGTGCTATACTTACACGCTGCTTCTCACCACCAGAAAGTCTCATACCACGCTCACCAACAACAGTGTCAAGCTTATCTGGCAAGGTCATAACACGATCTTGGAAACTTGCACGACGAAGCGCCTCGTAAACCTCTTCGTCAGTAGCATCCAACTTAGCGTAACGGATATTGTCACGTAACGTAGAATGGAACAGCATAGTGTTCTGAGATACAACACCGATGTTCCGACGTAGGCTTTCTTGCGTCACAGAAGTTATATCCTGGCCATTTACATAAATCTCACCGCTACTAGCATCATACAAACGAGAAAGCAGCAGACTTAAAGTTGTCTTACCGGAACCGGTAGGACCTACAATAGCCAGTGACCGTCCCCTTGGTAATTTGAAGCTGATATCGCGCAATGTTACCTTTGGAGCTGGTAAGTCACGACTCGGGAAACTAAATGAGACATTGCGGAACTCGATCATTGGTATAGAGCTGTCTTCCTTTTCATCTAGGCATAGCGACACAGCACCCTCTCGGTCGACCACCGTCGGTTGGCAGTTCATCATATTTGCCGCGCTCTGGATACCTGCAGCAGCACGACAGATCGTTGCATACATAGTTCCCAATAGAAATAGCGGGCGATAGAGGTAGAAGAGATAGGTTTGAACAGATACCATTTGACCAACGGTCATCCTTTCGTTGCGAACAGCCATCAAGGCAAACAACAAACAGAGATATATAGTAATCTGCTTCAATAACTCTTGCGATACATTCAGCGCACTAAGACTTGACAAAACTTTATACTGGCATTGCTGATGTTGACGCACTACGGTTGCGTAACGCGCAACCTCATGCTCCTCGTTCGTGAAGTACTTCACAGTATCGAAGTTGCTGATACCGTCGTTTGAAATGCTGTGCATCTCATCATCACGCTCAGCTTCAGCACGGCGTGTTTTGTTCCTCCAGTTAGTGGTACCGATGGTAACTATGGTGTAAATAATCAATCCAATAATAACCGTCATGGTCATCCAGAGGTCCTTGAAGTATGCCGCAAACAATACGCTGACGGAAAATGCTTCTAGCAATGTCGGTACCAGTAGCAGTACTCCAAATCTCGTCAAATCACGCATCGATTCTAAACCACGGGTCATACAGCGGATAACCTCACCGCCCTTGGACTCTAGGAACCACTGGTAATCCATGGTGTAGATATGGCGGTACATCTTTGAAGCTAGAACTGTCAACCCTTTACATTGCACCTAGAATCGTTTATAAAACAAGTGATGTAAACTTACATAGTTATACAACAGGTTACGCAATTCGTCGCAAGCGCTACCAGACAAAAACAGTACACCCATGGTGAGCAATTGCATCATCGCCTGGCTGTGTTCTCCCGCCGTCAGCGATGATATCGTGAGACCTAGATAGTACGGGGCTAGCAAGTTGCATGCTTTTCCACAAAATAGCAAAACCACGGCAAATACCACAAAAGAGCGAAGCATAACACGTTTGTGTAGCGAGTCCGTAGGGGCACCAGGCCAATAGAAGGGCTTCATTAACTGCAATGAGAGTTATTTTACTTAATATGATTACATACCCGTATGATATCCCCCGTGGTAGCTTGACTTTCGTCGTCAGCAACCTCTAAACGGAATGCGTCACCCTCAGCCGACGAGGTGCCGCGGCCGGTAACCGGACACTTACCCATCCTGTTGGAAGAGCAACGAGTTACAGAATCTTCTTATCTCACTGTACACGGGGGGTCGTCAACCAACCCTTTGCGGAAGAATTACGATTGAAATACTGCACCTAAACAGACAATGTAGAAACTTATCCTTTTAGAATAGCCAAAAATGGCCTTGGCAAAATGCAAAAAACTTGCTGTTTGCTGAAAATAAAGCTGATCGGTTATTACAACGATTGGAAGAACTAGTATAAACCGGTTCCAGTACCACTGCACGAGTATTCGACGGTCTTACGTAACATATCGTAACTCCGCATTAAATACCCTCGTTGTTTTGAGAGAAGCTAATGTAAAAATAGTGATACTAGAAATTAATTTTCAAGGAAATCTTGAAGGTTACACACACTTCATTTTAAATATACAATGCGTAAATGCAAACGGCGATGCTGTAAACACGTACACTGATGCCCAGATACACAATGCCACAGAGACCAATAAAAACGTCAATTCAGTCTCAGAATGAGTCGAAGAATAATATGGCACATATTGTACCAGGTACGGCTCACGAAGACCAAACATCACAACATCAACAACGCTCACACACACGACCATTATGCATCACGCCACGTAGATCACATTTTGAAATATGAGACGTTTTATACAGACGTTATAGCAGTGGTGGTCACTTTTGAAGGCGTTCTGATACCGATGGAAGTCCACAAAAAAAATGCCAAACTAAAGCTCACGTAACCGTTTACTCAAATCGTCAGTATCCAAAAGACCCCTCATATACTCCAAAGCCGCCTTATTAAGCAACATGCGATCCTATAGAAACACATATATGATGTTATCGATGAGAAACATACCAGTTCATGTTGAAGTGCCGGTGGCAACAGCTTCTCCAAACGTGCTATTAAAGGTCGCTGATGCCGTTGAGAAAAAAACTGACGAAAGTATATCTGTATTAACAAAAGAGCTGTCTTGCAGGACATCTCCATGCTATACAAATTTGTTTTGCCACCATCGCGGAGACTATTGTACGACTCCAAACTTGTCACAATGTAGTTCAATAACTGTAAAAAAATGTGAAGATTATCAAATGGTATAAAAATTAATAAAATACATACAATAGATTCAATGTAGAACATACCTTCTCAGCATAAATAAATGGAAGTGCTATCAATACCTCATGGATCACGTTATGGCTTAATCCGCTGACAGCCATCATCACATGTTCTGTAGGGGTACGGTTAAATAGTTCCAACGGGGCATCAGGCTCCTCTGGCATTGCTCCATCAGGCATACCATATTTAGAAATACCGTCCTTGTTACGACTCATAGCCTCGTACTCTTCCAACCGATGTTTATAGTCTTCTAGAGCCTGACGATATTCCTCAGCATCATCGATCACACGAATCAAATCTTCAGTAGCCTTAACAGATTCCACTGTTTTACGGCTAGCCTTGTTCATCAAAGCACTCCGGTCTACAGGAATAGCTTGGTTAAGATCGTCACGAACAGCTTCATGCTCAAGCTGATAATCAAGCTCCTTCTCACGTTCCTCAGATAAAAATATCTGCTCATCAGTACGAAACCAAAAACGGATAGTACTGTCATCCGAAGCACTCACAAAAAAGTGAGCATCACTACTCACTGCAAGTGAACGAACGGGTGAGCTGTGTACACGTAATTGGCAAATAAGCTCATATGTATCACAGTCCCACAATTTGATCAAGGCATCGAGACCCGTAGTTATCAAATAATGAGTACCACTGATCCAACGGCAACATATAACGGCACCAGAATGGGCTAGCAACGAGCGGCGGATGTTACCGAAATCTAGCCCCCAAATCTTTACTGTCTTGTCCAAAGAACTGGATGCCAGCAATGCACCATCAGAAGATATGTCGATAGAGGTGACCAGAAGTTTGTGACCGTATAACGAAAGGAACGGTTTAAGACTATCAGTGTAGAATGTCTGGATAGTACTGTCCTGCAATGCAATTGCCAATAGACTACCGTCAGTGGAGTACCGGACGTCCGTCGGGTGGTCCGGCAATGCCACGGATGACACTTCCTTGACAGTCAGCACTTCATGGTTGCCTTTCTTCTTCAAAACATACTGGAACAGTTTCACGCAGCGATCCCGGAATGCCGCAGCAAACGTTGCGTGATCAGGATGTTCGCAAAGCGCCACTACATCCAAAGCAGAAGATCGCTTAGAAAGGTCAGGAGACTCTTTGTGTACCTCATATACCTCGCAAGTCTCCAGGTAAAGCACTAACAGCTCACCGTTAGCGGTACCTAGAATCGCATGACGGTTGCCAGCAACGAAGTATGCGCAAGTGACAGCTTTCGTTTCAACCGTTCTCACACAATGACGAGTGTGACTATTCCACACTTTCGTAGATTCACTCGAAAATGATAGTAACATCATGTCATTTGGCGACACGCACAAACCTAATATGGAACTAGGATGACCGACTATATCCAAAAAGTGTACCCGTTGACAATGCGATACCAATGA